TTAACTAGGGTTCAGTTTGCTACTGCGAAGAATATACCTTAATAAGACTCCATGCCTTCCTGAAAGCTGCCATTACACTTTAGAGGGGCCGTGTGGATTCAGAAAATTTGTATAACCCACACTGACTTGTGAGAAGATCCAGCTGCTCTTGCCCAAGACCCAAACATTGATGTATCGGTATGAACTCCAGCGTATGTTCACGTTACACTGAAAACTTCAAAGAGTATGAAATAAGTCTTACAATTTGGAATATCTTTCCTGGTAGAGGTGTGCATGGGAGGCCTATGTGGGTAGCAAGAATTTCAATTGAGTTCTTTGCTTACTTGAACCTTAATTTTAATAGGGGCGGGGTCTGCTGTAACTTGTATGTCACATTTGCTGGAAAGTACCATGCACCTTGACCAAATAGTGCCTTGCATTGGCCTTCTTGCGAGTCACGCTTGTGATAACTGCCTTTTCGCTCTCAATTCTGCTTACTTACTGAACCACACTCTGCCTCAGACCATTTCGCAATTGGTTTTTGTTCATCGTAGGATTCCACTCCTGCTTGTCCAGATGTGTTGACACAAAATTATCCACTTTCTGCCTCAGGTTTTGGTAAGCTGGCTAAAATATTAAAAAGAAGGGGCAAGGTCAGAAGTTACATGCACCAAAGTTTTGGAAATTAGTCATTCAGAACACTGCTTTTCACAGAAATGCAGAATTTCAGGCCCTTAAATACACTCCCATTGTGTCCATGAAGATCATCATGCAGCATGGCAGAGCATGGATTAATGACCAACATGTGTGCCTGCTACAATGCCAGATGCTTTATTACCCCACTTACTTTTCAAATAACTCTACGAGGGAGGTCCTGTTGGCTCTCTCCTGCTCTCATGTTAGAGGATACAGGCATAGAAAAAGTAAACAACTTGCCTACAAGGCTAAAATGTGGCAAAGCCAAGGTTAGACCCAGGCCGTTTCCAAATCAAAGGAAATGGGTTCTAGTCCAGCTCCATTGCTTACTAGCTCTCTGACTTTCGACAGGTCAGCCAACCTGAGTCTCAGTTATTTCCGTCTGTAAAACAAATATTACTGCCCTGCTTACCTCACAGGGTCTTCTTGGCCACAAGCAAGGCCTCGGGAAAGTTCTCCGCATAAAATGAAGGCCCACCCAACCCTCAGCATGACTCATGAATGCAGACTGAAGTCAATGCCTACGGAACACTGGGAAAGGCTGAAGGGAAGCAAAACTTAAGTCCCCAAAGGAGCCTGAGAGGCACTTATTGGTCTCAGATGTTCTAGACCCAACTAGGATCAGAACAAAATCAGAAAGGAACTTGATGAACACAAGGAATCCATGTGAACGTAAGGAATGCATGTTCTAAGCCTCCAAGACCTTCTGGCCGCACTAGCTGTTCCCTCTCCAAACCAGGTGTAGCAGTGAGCATTGCTGTTCATTCCTCTCTCCTCCCACTGTGGGCAGAGGACACTGCCCTACCCCAGTGACACTGCGTTTAGCGGTGTGATCTGCTCTGGCCAACGGAGTGTTAGTGACAAGAGGTCCTAAATGTGGCTGTGCCACCTGGCTTGGCTCTTGTACTCTGGTGACCTTTGATGAGGGGAGTCCTTTGCAGCCCCTGTCCATTTGGCCTGGGACCCAGGATGAGCACATGTGCAGCAGACCTACCCCAACCCACAGCTTGGACCCAAGCCCAGGCCACCTACAGCTGAGCACCAAGCCTATCTAGATCAGAGGAACTTTAGCTGACTTGTAGCCCCATCAGCATGAGAACAAATGCTTGTTATAAGTCACTGAGATTTGGTTTATCATGTAGTGTTACTGTGACAAAAGTTTGCTAACAGTCAGGTCGATGAAACTGACAAAGGAATCGACTGGCCTCAACTCCATGAATGGGCTCTTCCCAAAGGCCATGACTCACAGGCATAAAGACTCTCCACCAAACCTGGAGAGAGTAAGGCAGGGAGACGGGTGAGGACTAAAATTCACAGATACCCCTGTACTGTCTGCCTAGCAACTCCTGTTTCCTGGTAACCATCTTCCCCTCTTCATTACCCACTACTGTGGGGAGGGCAGTGGGTGCCATGTTCTCCTGGCTACAGGGGTGGGTGCCTACCCATGTTGAGACGATGCAGACACTTCCTGGGATTTTTTGAACTGGAGCTGTTTCTAGAGGAAGAAGCCGTAAGATGTAACCAATAGATACTAGTAACCAAATGCATGACTCTGCTCTGCAGTGACAGTTAAGAGAGTTATGAAGAATAGGCATGAAAGACAGCCCTAGTGGAGCATCCCTGGTTCCAAATGCATCCCTACCCTTCTGGCAGTTTATCCATTCTAGCTTTCCTTAGATCCCATGAGCCAACAGAGTTTCCCCTTGGCTTACAGGAGTTAGAATTAGATTTGTAGCTTTTAACCATTAATCCTGATACTATGCCTTCTACGATTCAAAATAACTCACCCAGTTTTAGACAGAAACGGTTCACAGGGAAAAGGACAAAGGACAGCTAATGTCGCCACCAAACCTTAAGAGACCCTGACAATACAGAATAATCCCTTCAGTTCATGAAGTGAAAGGACCTAACGTGCCTGCCACTAACATTTTATTATACTTACTATCACTATCTCCGTCTCTTCTTCACCTATCAGTTTGTTCTGTTTGTTTATATTTTGGATGCACTGCAAAGTAAATTACAAACACCATCAGTACACTTTTTATGTTTGTAGTCTGGGGTGGAGCCTAACAACAAATCTGACAAGTTGTCGGGTGATGCTGATGATCTAGGGGCCACACTTTGAGAACCATGGGACTAAAGCAACGAAGGATGTGTCTAAAACACACTATCTTCAAGAATTAAGACAGGGCTTCCCTGGTGGCGCAGTAGTTGAGAGTCCGCCTGCCGATGCAGGGGACGCGGGTTCGTGCCCCGGTCCGGGAAGATCCCAGGTGCCGCGGAGCGGCTGAGCCCGTGAGCCATGGCGGCTGAGCCTGCACGTCCGGAGCCTGTGCTCCGCAACGGGAGAGGCCACAACAGTGAGAGGCCCGCGTAGCGCAAAAAAAAAAAAAAAGAATTAAGACAACCAGGTGACTACCAGAGAGAACATCTAAGGAGGTGTTAAGTGGTGAAGGCTCCAATTCCCTCTCCCCCAACAGATTCTCAATACCGATTTAAAGAAATATAGTATACTACATTGATTAAGCCACACAAAACCCAGTGAGACAAATGAAACATGAGTGCAGAACTTGCAGTGGGAAGCTGAGAACACCCAGTGCTGGAAAAGGTGAAAGCTCTGTCAGTATGTACCTGGGAACCTTAAAGAAGGAAAATTAAACACCCCATTTCAAGGACAGCACTTCTCCTTGAGTTTTTAATCTTGGAGAATAACAGCACACATCACTTACTATTTATACTATCTGGTCTACGTTTCAGTTTTCTACCCTAGAATACAATCTTTGAGGACTGGGTAGTGACTTGCTCGTTCCTGTATCCACAAACCCCATCAATAAATGTTTAATGGGTACATGGACAAGGTCTTTCCCTATTTTTAAGGCCTAGTTTTAAGCTCACAATCTTGCTGTGAGGTCCGCAAAAGATTTCCATGATAGGCTCAGAGGGGAGAAATCACTTCCCTCTAGCAGCCCATTCAGGAACAGAGCCTCCTAAGTCTTGCTGGAGAAGCTTCTGAAAAGGGAGTAAACGAATATTCCAGCAACTGCTGTTTGTCTGACACTTAACACACGTGACTTCACTGAATACAAATGAACCTTGGCAAGTAGGTAAAGTGAAACAGCATTGTACTATCTGTTGACTTGGTTGACCTATGGCATTAGGATCTAAAATAGGCACCAAATCCCTTTCAGTCGATGATGGAGAACAAAATAGGGTGCTGGTTCTACAACAATGTACCTCAATTAACTGCGCATGCAAGTCTGCAAATCACTAAGCTAGAGAAAAGGAATAGTTATTATAGGCTAATGATTGTGCATTCAAACCATTCACGCTTACTTACCTGGTTTTCTCCACTGTTTTTAACATACTGAGATTTGTTACTGAGGGCTTTAAAGGAGTCCCATCTTGGGAAAGACAGGAGATAGGCAGGCTGTGAAACCGGTGTTGGATCCCCAAGTTGAGAGATGCGACTGGGCTAAGTCGCACAGAATAGTGATGGGGCTGGGAGCCGAACCCACGTGGGCATCCCTCAGAAAGCTTCCTATACTGCCCTAAGCGGTCTCCTCGCTGCTGAGATTTTTAAGGTGTCTTTTGTTTTTCTCTCTCCTTTGGAAATGCGAAATGCAACCCTGGCAGCCTCATGCCCAGCCCGGCCCGCCTAAGCCCAGGCGGCCTAATCTACCTTGGTGTCCACGTCGGCCAGGCAGTCCCGGCGGAAGCTGTCAAACAGCCCCCGGCTCTTGAGCTGCTCCACGATGAGCGCGATGAGCTGCGGGTCGCCGGGAGGCAGTGAGGCCGGGTTGATGGGGCCGCCGCTCCCACCGGCTCCCGTCGCGCCTGTCGTCGCCCCCGCCGAGGCTTGGCCGGCGCCGCCGCCGCCCACCGCGCCGGTGCCCCCTCCGCCCCCGCCGTCCGCCATGGCTGCGCCCCGGGCCCGCGAAGGAGACTGAATACGGATTCCTCTCAAGGACAGAGGGCCTGGGTCGTGTAGAGGTGGCCGAGGGGCCGGAGAAGGAGGAGGCGGCGGCGGGGGAGGAGGAAGGGGTGGCGGCTGGGACGGCGGCAACGGCAGCTTCTGAGGCAGCAGAGGTGGCGGTAGAGGCGGCAGGAACCGCCCGCCCCATCCATGGCGCTCTCCGGGTGACGACACCGCCGATCTCTGCATTGTGGGGCAGGAGGTTTTCCGGCAGTCATCTCCAGCTTTCTTATAGGCAGAGGTCTGGCCGACGAAAACTACATCTCCCGGCAGGCTCTGGACTCTCGTCTCCAGTTTGCGGGGCAGTATGGGACTTGTAGGCTTAGGCCCTCGTGATTGCTGCAGCCTGGGCTGGCCTTCCTCGCTCCGTTACTGCCCTCTCTCTTTAAATCAGCGCGTCCTCAAAGTGCCTGATTATAAGAATCGTCTGCTAGGCTGATTGAAAGTATAGATTCACAGGTTTGTCCCTTAGAGATTCTGATTCAATATTTCTGGGTCGGGGCCTAGGAATCTGTGCTTTTAACATGCATTCCCGCGCCTTTCTTGAACAATACGATCCAGGAAATGTGGGAAGCAGTGGACTAGTCAAATTTCTTTTATTCAGAAATTGTGGATGTATTTCCCCTTCTGATTTTAATAGAAATGCATACTTATTTTAGAAAATTGAAAAATAATGGAAAACTGCTGTAAAAAAATTTCCCTGATTCTCTATTTTATGTATTTCCCTCCAGATATTAAATATTGTCAGTAATAATAAACGAATATTGAGTAATTGGAATATTACAGGCATGATGCTAAGTACTTCACATACACTACTTCACAATCTAAAATGCAGATCTTGTCATCGCTATTTTACAGAGGCAGAAATGGAGGCACAGAAAGTTTGTTACCCTGATCACGTAGCTAGAGGTGGAAGAGGAGGGTTTGAACAAAGGTTTCCTGAATCCAAATCTTGGCAATGTTTAACCTAAGGTGTTCTACATTCTGAGAGCTAGCTGGCATCAAAGGTAAGGCTTTTTTCTTGATTTTTTTGTAGCCCCAGTTTACTGTTGGAACTGCCACCACTGTCCTCTCTTCCATTCAGCCTTTTGTCCATTGTTGACTGAACTCCTGCCCACAGCCCCTGGCAATTCTGCTTGCTGTTGTTATTTCCTCATCTTCCATAAGCAGTGGAGGGGTTGTAAATAATAAATTCTTCAATATCCTTGCCTTCTGGGAAGAGGCATCATAGACAGAGATCTGGGATGCTCTCCACTCCACCATTTCCTATTTAACAGAGTTTAACCCTTAAAATGAAAATCGGGATGTTAGTTTATACTCATCCTTTAACTCAAGCTAAATCTTCCTAAAAGGTTAAGTTAATGACCAACATTCTCTCTTAATACTTCACCATCCTGGAGATTACCTAATGACTATTCTTCCTAGTTGTACCACACTCATCACCCACCTTTAGCCCCAGGAGAGGCCCTATTCAGACCACCTGGGCCTCATGTCCATTCTCCTCCAAGCTCCCTGACTTTGACTAGCCTCTTCTCCATTTTGGCACAGCACACCTTACTCTCTTTCTCCAGGGTAACTTTTCTGACCCTCTGACCTAATCTGGTCTTGTCTCACTGGTATAGACTCTCAGAGCCTCCTTCTTGTACCAGTTATTATAATCAAAAGTGAATAATTTATAGGCTAGTTGGCCACCTGTTTCCCCTGCTACAGTGTAAGCTTTAGAGCTGGAACCACAGCTTGCTCTTCATCACTGTGTTCCCAGCCCATAGCTCAATGCCTAGCTCAAAGTAGATGTGTAAATTTTTGTCTATTTCCTATAATCATGGGGTAGAGTCAGAGAGAGAGAGAGAGAGAGAGAGAGAGAGGGAGAGAGAGAGAGAGAGAGAGAGAGAGAGAGAGAGAGAGAGAGAGAGAGAGTGTGTGTGTGTGTGTGTGTGTGTGTGTGTGTGTGTGGAGCGGGGGAGGTGGGTGGAGGAGAGTGTCATTTGTAGCCACTACTTTCAGAAGAGAAAGTAGGAGATGATGGATTAATCCATCATGACCAAATGGGTCAGTGATCCTGGAGATTGGCAGCAAATGGTTTAACCCTTTGTCAGTCTCATGGGGACCTTGTGTCCTAGTTGCTAGAACTCTCAACTGTGAAAAGAGGCTGCACCCTATACCTGTGACGTTGCCTCTGGAATTGATATTAATTGGGTGTGGTGGGGTCGGGGGAACGAGGAGTGAAGGAAATCAAGACTAGGGGAGGCTTATTGTTCGTCCAAATTTGCAGTAGGAAGCTTCCACTACATCCAAAATGTATTCCTCCCCCAAGTCAAGGAGCATGTAATACACAATAATTGTCACCAGGGAGCGCCATTGCTGTATTAATAATACAGGACCTTTAGAAATTTCTATGCAGAACACTGTTTTAATTTTGGCCCAGGTGGTGATCTCATTTTCAGATATCCTTTAGGAAAAAATAATTGTTGCCTCTCATTGTTAAAATTTGTCTGTAACAAGTTTCCTGAGCCCAGTGAATTGTACGTATTAGGTGTTGGAATATTTTATGTCAAAGACTGCAGGCCAAACCCAGATCTCAAAGGAGAAAGGGCAGAAACTAGAAATGAGATACACAGTTTGCCAAGGGAGATGTGAAAAAGCAGCCAAGTGCGTGGGCTTTTTGCATCAGGGGGCACTGGATTGGAAGCCCAGCTCCATCACTTTGAGGTGGTGTGACTTTGGGAAAGTTGCATCACCTCTCCGAGCCTCAGTTCCATTTTAGCAATCCACTTGGCATAATTCCTGGTCCTCAGCAAGTGTTGATAACATATTACAGCCACAAATTCACATTTGGGTTGGGAAGTTATTTGATTAACCACTGTCGCCTCTGCTAACTTCTAAATTCCATGAAGGAATGGATTGTCTGTTTCATTTATCATTGTGTCCCCAGCACCTAGAACAGTGTCTGGTACATACGGGCTCTTTGTAAATATATGATAGATGGATGGAAGAAGAAAGTAATGAATGAGCAAATGGGAAATTTGCTCTTCTAAGTGTAGGATCAGGCCATTCAAGATTTTTTTTTTAATGCGGTACGCGGGCCTCTCACTGTTGTGGCCTCTCCCGTTGCGGAGCACCGGCTCTGGACGCGCAGGCTCAGCGGCCATGGCTCATGGGCCCAGCCGCTCCACGGCATGTGGGATCCTTCCAGACTGGGGCACGAACCCGTGTCCCCTGCATCGGCAGGCGGACTCTCAACCACTGCGCCACCAGGGAAGCCCCATTCAAGATTTTTGATACCTCCCTCCACCAAATGGCGGAATATACTCAATATATTGACTATATATACAGAGGGGTTAGGTGTTCTAGTGAGCTTTCCATATGTGTGACTGAACTGGACTAGGAACCTGGGGCTGGGAGCAGGCCCCAAGGTTAGAAGTCAGTCTATGTGTTGCCTTGGTAACCTTCCAACCTTCTAATCCAAGATCCGGTTATTTAAGCAAGAGCATTCCAGAGCCCAGGGCTGCATTTAGACACCACATCCACTTGGGGTAGACAGGTTGTTGGTCCTTATTCATGTTCATGGTGTGGCCCTTTTTCTCCTTGCTTCCTTGTTTTCATCCAAAGAGCCTTACTAATTCTTAGGCTGGACAGGTATTCATTTCTTAATTGACAGCATCCAGCGTTTCTCGAGATTGCCTGTCTGTAGTGTATTGGCTACATCTGCATCAAAGGATCTTGGCTGCTTTTTGTTTGTTTCTTTGCGATGTTTTCCAGCATCTCTAATGACAGATTGGATCCAAATACACACTCAGAAAACAGGGCTTTGATAAGCAGGCGTCCTCAGCACCAATCAATACTACCACTGCCTCTCCCACCTAACATGCATCTTAGATAACATTTCAGGCTGCAGTGTTTTTAACACGTTGTCATTTTGAATTATCATTACTAAAGAATGCTGAGTGGAAGAGGCATCCTGATATAATGTAGAGAAAAGAATGGGAAGTTTGGAATCTGGCTTGGGTTTGGATCCAGCACCTCTGCTATCGTCTATGTGACCTAGGACAATCTTCTGAGCCTCAGTTTGTCGTGAAATGTAGAGATAATATATATGCAGAAGGTGGCACATGGTAGGCACTGATAGCTAATCATATGGTCTTGAAACAACATCCTAATATGCTCATCTGTAGTCTGTTGTGGGCAGAAATCTTGAATAATATATATTCAGAATTAATACATATTTAATTACTTTGCTAGTTTTAATCTTGTGATGACACAGAGAACCTCTCAGCCAGTCCCTAACTTGGTGGGCTCAGTGAAGCCAAGTTCACAGTCGAGCCCTCCATGCTATTGCTGCTGTGGTCTGGATCCGTCCTCTGCCTTTGTCTTCACACCTACAATGCCATCTCTCATTCTCCAGTGACACACATATCGAATCACTTACTCCTAGTTGCCTATCCGGTATCCATTCCCCTTCTGTATCAACAGAACCCAATTTTGTCTGGGGCTTCGGTGTGCCCTGCTGAAGTGTGTACTTCCCTAGATTCCTTTGTTGCTAGGAGTGACCATAGGTGCCATTTCTGGCCAAGGAGATAGAAGCTGAGGGTATCTGGGAAAGCTTGGCCTTGCTGATAGAAGCATTGCCCCTCCCTGCTGTGGCGTCGAGGTGCAGCAGTCCTAAACCAACACCCTAAGGGTTAGTTAGGGGCCAGTTACAAACTGGTTCTGGCCAGTGAGCTGTGAACAGCAGGGAGAGTTGTGTCACTTCTGGGCCAGGACGTTTAAGTACCAACGTGAAGCTGACTCACTTTGCTGTACAGCAGAAACTAGCACAACATTGTAAAGCAACTATACTCCAATAAAAAGTTTTTTTAAAAGTACCAACGTGAGACCCTCCAAGAATTCTCCTTTCATCTGCCATGATAACCAGCGCAATTTGAGATAGTGGCTGATCTATCATGCTGAGCCCCAGAGTGAGGGGACATGGAGTAGGGGCCCTGGTTGGCCCCTAATGAACCAGCAGGAGTGAGAAATAAACCTTGGTTGTTTTACGCCACTGAGGTTGTGGAGTTGTTTGTCGCTGCGGCATAATCTAGCCCATGCTGACTGATATAACCCTGACCCCATTCCTCCACTAAACCCATCATTTATGGAATGACTGAATGTAAAAACTAACTAACAAATGATTAACTAAAAGCATGAATGAATTAGCTTCCTTCTCCTGGGCCCCGTCCCTTCAGATCACGTCTAGGAATGACTATAAGTCCACCTAGTTTACTCTGTGTACCTTTGTAGACAGCTGAGGTCAGTCTTTCTTCAACTTTGGCGTTCATCAGAATTCTCTGAGGGCCTCATTAAAAATACAGATGCCCCGCCATCCCCTCAGATCTGCAGAATCAATCCTTAGAGGTGGGTCTTGGCCATCTGCATTTATTATAAGTTTCCTAGGAGGTTCTGACAATGGGCCAAAGTTTGGAACGGTTGGCACTTTGGGTAGAAAATTCAGACCCCCATCAACAGGTCTGAAAGGGTGATTGTTTCTGGCATGTGGGTTTTCCAGCATCTCTCAGTCATCCCTGCCTCAGCTCCTACCCTCAGCCCTCACCCTTGTTCCCAGGTGGCTACTTCTACCTAAGTGATCACCTTTGATTAAAGGTTCCCTTGAAAATATCAGTGACATCTCCCCTCTGGCCCTTGCATCTCTTGTCTGTAAAAAGAAGGGGGTTTATACCTAGAGGGAGGCCATCAACAGTGGTGCCTGAGAATGGAGGCAGGTACGAAGGGTGCAGAGGGGTGCCGGTAACTGATCGAGGCAGCTCTGGGGCCGTCCCACAGAAGGTGGCATTCAGACAGGGTCCTAATGAGTGTGGTGGGCATTGCCCTTCTTTGTAGAAGTGCCTTTGCACATGTTCCTGCATTTGGGCCCTCCCCACCTTATGAGTCTTGGCAGGATGGGGAGACCCCCTTCTACCTGGGAGCCCAGAGACTTGCTTTCCCGGCTTCCCAAACATGTGGTCTTGACTTCAGCCATCAGAGGCCAATCTGGCACTTGACACAGCAGGTACCATGTGAAGAAGCAAGCTCCATAATTGGGGGAGGTGGTGTCTGCCCCCAGAAGGGCCATGGTGGGGTCCCACAGGGTGTCCGGTACCTGCACGGGCAACACCAGAGGCACCTCATGCTGTTCTGTGCCAGCGTTGGGACAGTGGCATCTCCATGGTGTGATTTGGCGGTGGCTCCTGTCCACATCGTCTCCAAGCCTGGATCTCTGGCCCTCCCAGGGATTCTGGAAGCCACCCCATATTCTTTACTGCATACCTTTACTGATTGAACCAGCCAGAATTCATTTCTGCTGCGACTAAAGAACCTTTCCTGGATAAGTAGGTAGAGAGGAGAGAGGTTCAGGGTCCCAGGCAGAGGGTACAGCTTGAGCAAAGGCCCAGCGTCTTGAAGAGCGTGGATATATTCTGAAAAGGGTTGCCAGTCCCATGGGTTGCAGAGCATGTATTGGGGGTGGAGTGGGGACCAGAAAGAGATGAGGTTGATGAAATAAGCTGGGACCTCAAATGCTACCGTTTCAGAGGCTGAATGTGACCTTGGAGTGGAGACAATGGGTTTTAAACAGGGCAGGGGCAGCATCAGATGCAAAATTGACCAAGATTTCTCTGGGACAGCACAGAGTGTGACTGGACCCGGTGGAGCTGGGGGCAGGGAGACGGATGAGAAGGCTAGAGGGGCCATCTCACGTGGTAGGTGTTGGCTAGGGCGTCCCTGCCCCTTGAGAGCTGGCTAAGACTGCTCACTCCTTCCTCATCACCTCCCCCCGCCCCACCCCATTGCCTTCCTAGGCCCTGCAGAAGGCCAGGCGGGACCCCTTCCACAATTTCTGCAACTTCTCCATGGTCGTCTCTGCTTCGGAGCTCCTGCCTCTGCTGTATTCATTTTAGTTTATGGATTTTCAGGTGAACCTCAGCACCTTGATCCTTTGGCACAGATTGAAGTTCTGAGAGTATCAGAGGAGACACTGACATTTCAGCAACATTAAAAACAAACAAACTGCAAATTGTACTTTCAACCGTCTTGTTCTTAGAGGACTCTACATGTCCCGAGGGATTCATGGTCAGCTATTTCTCCTCATGGGTGCACCAGCCTCAGTGCAACTCATTACCTCCTCTCTCCCCTCCCCGGTTCCGCCTACCTCTTCACTCCCACCCTCATGGCTTGCCTGTGAAATGCCAGATACTCCTGTTGGGATGCACCACAAGTCAGCCCTCTCAAGCCCTCTCTTCCAAACTCAGCTCCAGGCCCACTTTTGCACCTCCAGGCCCATGGAGGAGGCCATCCAAACATGAGGTTATCCTCTTAAAAAGCTCCGCACCCCTTTGAAGACAGCAGTGTTAACAATTACGTTTCTGCCTCTATGATAGCTTTCCACAGTTGAATTTTGCTGTTAGTAATTGTTTTATTTATTTATTTACTTTATTTTTTTTGTCTGTGCCGCGCGGCTTGCGGGATCTGAGTTCCCTGACCAGGGATTGAACTCGCACCCTCGGCAGTGAAAGCGCAAAGCCCTAACCATCGGACTGCCAGGGAATTCTGAGCTGCGAATAATTGTAAACCACAAAATAGAAGAATTTTGTCTATCTCATGTAAAAGTCAGGAGGAAGGCTGACAGGGCAGCTCCATGACCGTCAGGCTCCCAGCCTCCTCCGCCATCTTGAGAGCTCTGATCGAAGGTGGCTGCCCAAGTCCCCAGGCCCGAGGGAGCTGCGGGCAGGCTGGGAAGTGTTGCTGGACCTTTTTGTTACAACCTCTGGTTAAAATTTGGTGCTCATGTTATTAAGGAAGAAGGGGCAGATGCACATTGGGAGGAAACTAGTACTCTGTGCTGTATCTATGAAGACCACTTATCTCAGACGTTAGCCTGAACTTTTCCCTGGACTGGGTATTGAAGGAAGCTGAAATGTTTAGTCTGTTGGTCATGGTGTACAAGGGTACCAATAGTTGTTCTCACTCCTTTAGAAGTGTCAACACTGCAACTTCAGGAAGGGCTGGGGGCCAGTCAGACCTGGGGTGTTTGAGGCCCCTCATAGGTACAGGCAGACCCTCACTCACAGGGCTTTGCTTCCCTGTGTTTTCCTGGGACTCAGTCTGGCCAGTCACCTCTCTGTAGCTGAAATAGAGTATGGGCCCAAGAGGCCTGTGGATACAGCAAATATCTCAGCTCCTGCTGCCCGTAGAGACTTTATTTCCAGAGGGATACTAGGGCTACTGAGAAGTGCCCATCATTCTGGGGAGACAGTACAATGGCTAAGGAGCCTGTGAGCGAGGACGAGGCTGCCTGCCTGCCTGAGCTCCAGGAGGCTGCCTTGGCTCCTGGCTCTGGGCACTCCTGGCCCCTCCAGTGCTTCATTGGTGGGCTGTGCTCTGAGCATCTGCCGCTGTCATGTGCAATTTGAGTGGACCACTTCCGTGATCACACTCCGAAGTTGGGGTTTCCTCTGTCCCTCAGGGGTGCTAGAGGAATGTACAGGTCCCAGTGGCCCAACCTGGAATGAAACTCAGGTCTCCTGACTCCACTTCAGTGCCTTTTTCTTCTCCTCCATCCCTCCCTAGGAAGGCTCTGGTTGGCGGGCTCCATGTAGTAGACTGTGGGCATCATTAATGCTATTCACTGGGTAGTCCCAGCTCTCTGCTTTCTAGATCCAAGGCAGGATTGTAACTGCCGGCCGCAAGGCAGGACCATGTGACTAGTTCCAACCAATGAGCCATGAGTAGAAGTGATGTCACTTCTGGTCTAGAGCCTTCAATGGCTGCTCCAGATCTCTCTTTCCATCTGCTGAGGTGACAGTGGCCAGTGATGGTGGGTGCTCCATCAGCCTGTGACCGGGAGCAGAGCCCGCAGCTGACCCCTGATGGACCTGTAGAGTGAACAAGAAATAAATCTTTGGCGTTTTAAAAACTTAGGACTTTTTTTTGTTATCACAGCATTACCCATCCTAACCTAACAGTGCGCACCTACCATCTATTTGGTTGCCTGACATCTCAATGCCCTTCCTATTTTGGGGGTAACTTCTACCCTCTTGAGACTTGTTGGGAGGCAGAGCCTTCCTATAGATGAAAATGCCAGGTACCACTTTCCCAGCTCGCCTTGCAGCTCAGGTGCAGGCACGTGGCCAAGGCCAGAGAAGATAGTGCTACAGCGGCAGTACCATGGGCTCGGCATTTGTAGCAGCTGCAGTGGGTGACATTGTTGGGCTGGTTCCGTTGCAAGAGTTTGGGCTGTGATTCTGGCTGTGTGACCTCCCTTTTCTCTTGCCTACTCCCTAAGCCTAGTTCTTCAGCCTTCCTGTCTCATCTGTGAGCTGCTCAGTATCCTTTCGATAAATTCACATTCAATTTAAATCACCGAGTTTATTTATGTTGCTTCCCCGACTAAGAGACTTGGATGGATACAACCAATTTAGAGGGCAGCATGGGGCGGCACGGGAGCCAGGAGCTGGAAGGAAGGATCTGGCAAGATGCACCTGACTTCTCTCCCCTGCACGAGCTGCTTCTCTGGGAGCAACCTTTGTCTGTCTTAGGCCAGAGCAAGCCAAAGGGTGCTGGGCAGGGGCTCTGGTCAGACTTGGTCAGCCTTTGGGCATGTGAACCTCACTTTTCTTATCTGTAAAATGGGGCCAATTATAGGACCTCACTTATAGAGTGGTTGTAAGGAATGTATTTGAAAGAGAATGTATTTGAGATAGTTCTGGGAACCATAAAACAAAACCCCAGTGCAAGCTCACCACATTATTCTGTGTTAGCTTGCCCGAATATATCCAGCTGGGGAATCTTGGTTGGCATGACAGGGTTAAATGAAAACTGTTCGTCCTGATGCCACCGTTCTATCACTTACCTCTTGGGAGGTCACAGGCCAGTCCTTACAATTCAGATCCATCTGAGAGTCTACTCAAGAGACCAGAGACCTCAGACTGGAAGCAATGAAAAGATTCCTGATGGGCTTGGTAAAGGCAGAGAAGCACAGAGATGGGAAAGGATATTAGGAGTTGTTTTATTCAATCCCCTCCATTTTCATAGTTCAGAGAGGGAAAGCCACCAACCCACAGCCACACAGCAACTCTGTGGCTGAGCTTGGGGTTGGGATGCAGATCTTTTCACTCTCACAGTGTGCCTTAATCTGGAGATATGCTTGTGCTGTAATCCAAGGATGCAAAGTAAATTTTGGGAATATGACAACTCTCCCTCAAATTAATAACCCCCATTTCCTAGCAACCTATGATCAACTGATCCTTATCCCACCCTACAGAAGGATCCCTGGAGTACCCCTTCTCTTTTTTCTTTCTCAGCCCTCTAAAACACTTTATTGAGGAAGGGTGAAAAATTGCTGAATCGATCTTTTTCAATTAGCACGGCATCTGAATCAAAGAAATTTGGAAGAAGAGAACTTTCTCATCCGAGTGGCTGCCAACACCCCCGCCCCAGCTGAAGTGCTCCCTTGTTCTCGCCTGCTCTGCCCCAGATTCATGGGCCACTCTCCGAATCGTTGGCAATTTTCTCTGCACTGTCCTGACAACCTCCGGCCATGAAAATTAAAAAACTAGTTACCGAATCTCGCTCCTAACGGCTTTGTCCTTGTCAGCGATTCGACAGAGAAATCTGGAAGAGGGAGCCTCCTTACGCCTGCAGTGGGCTGAAATGCCACCAGAATGACAATGGGCTTTGCCGTGGGAGGAGGGGAGAATGTGCAGTGTGGCAGGAGTGAATGAATGAATGAAAGGGAGAGAGAGAGAAAGAGAGAGAGAGAGAGAGAGAGAGAGACAGTGCGAGTGCACAAACTTTGGGCTTCAAATTAAAACATTCCAGTGTCTCAGCAGAGGTCCTGGTGTCTATACTCCAGGACCTTCTGCCAAATGCTGAGCAGGGCGCTTTTCCGCATGCCATTGCCCTCTGGTCCTCCACCAGGGTACAGAGCTCTGGGCTGGAGAGGGGGGCAGTCAGAATTTGGTGAGGAAATGGCTCCAAAGTGGGGAAAGCCCTGGGAGGCCGGCCCACCTAGTCAGCTTGCTATCTGCCCAAGCTTCCCCCACCACCTCAAGGGTCTCCCCTGATTTCAGACATTAGTACTCCACATACTATCACCGCCCCCCTCACCACCCTGCTGAAGGAATTTTAAGAAATCCTCAAAAACTGGAGGACCCTTAATTAAGAAAAAACTTTCTAGAAGACCACTGTGATGGGTGACTCACTGCAACATGGGCGTCCCTGAGCTGCAGGAGGGTGGGGCTCAGCCTCGTGGCTCTGTGTCCCCAGCCCTTGGCTTTGGGACCCACACAGATCAAAGGCCTGGCAGGTGCTTGTTGGGTGAAGGAGTAGGAACGGCTTCATTCAGAGATTTCTTGTTCCTGCCTCATCCCCCCGGGGTGTGGACTTGCAGACTGACGTGGGGATTTGCGGGGAAGCAGGAGAGAGAGGTATCAAAGCACTGGGTCCTCAGGTCCAGGCCGAGCGAGGTCTGTGACTTCATAGCCAAGAGACCTTGAACAAGTTGCTTAACATCCTCAAGCGTGTCTCCTTATCTCTGACATGGGAATCACCATGGTGACCACGCAGAGGGAGGCTGTGAATTAAACAAAGGCCCGCATGTCTGCTTGCTGTATAGTCAGTGCTCAATAAGAAGAAAAAGTTAACCAGGCCTAGACCCAGAGCCCCTCCCGAGATAGGGAGACTCTTCTCAAGAGCTTCTGCCTCATTATCCACGGATCTTGGGATTAGTCTCCTTACTGGACAGGCCTGGCATCGAAGGGACCCCGGGAAGCTGGGCTGGTTCTTGCTGTTTAACTGAGCACGTGCATTCACTCAGTCAGTCTCTCATTTGTTCATACAAATATCAGTATTTATTGAGCGCCTTCTACATGCTGCCTTGTGCTGGGGTTTGGGCTAAAAGAGTAAGCGAAAGGTGGCCTGATCCCAGTTCTTGAAGCTCATAAGCCAACAAGAAACAAACAAGCAAAGCCAAGATCAAAATCATTTGGGGTCCAGATCAGTAGGTGGTCAGGGAAAGCTTCTCTTGCGGGGCAGTATTTGAACCGAGATCTCAATAACAAGGAGCATGGGCAGTATTTGAATCGAGATCTAAGTAACAAGGAGTGGCCATACTTGGGCCGGAGGGAAGAGGGACCTGGGAAGGAAGCAATAGTTCAAAGGCTTGGAGGTGGGTACAGGACTGGTTAGGGGGCACCTGTGGCCAAGGTTGATGGAGCAGCAGGGTGGGGGTAGCAGATGGTTTCTGGGAAGCCCTGGGAGAGCTCATTTCATAGGAAGGCTGCCCGGAGGACTGGGGCTGGGCCCAGAGTCCAGAACACGTACTGAGGGTGGAGTGCTTTCACCAATGTCTCCCTGGAGGCCTGCTCTGGCCCCCTCTTTGCCCTACACCTGCTGTGACTCTGCATTAAAGGACAGATCGTTCAGAAGAGAGGTGTAGCTCCGCCATTATTATGTGTGGCCCACTTTCTCACAGTGCATGTCTCCCTGACCTTGGGGGTTGCGCCTGGGTGGAGGGGGTGAATATGCTTTCCTGTCTGCCCCCAGGCTCTCCTGCTGCTCTTAGCGTGTGGAGCACACACTGGTGCTGGCTGCCAGGGGTGCAGGTAGTCCTGCTGGAATCGGAGATACCCTTCCCCAGCTGGGCCCTGACTGGGGCAGTGGTCAAGCAAGCTCCACGGTGGGCCCATCCCAACCTGAGATCACTCCCATGACCAAGCCTTCCTTGGTCCCAGCTGTGCAAACAGAGGACCTGCAGCCACCCTGGATGTTGGATCTGGGGTCCCAACACACGTTGGCGTGACCAGCCAATTCACAAAGGGCTGCCTGCTTGGGGTCAGGCACCAAGGACCCTCTGGTGATATAGAGCCTGAGGCTCTTCCTGTCAAAAGGAGCTAAGAGACATTTAACCCAGTGCCATTCATTCATTCATTCAGTAAATGTTTGTTAAGTACCTACCATGTGCCATGTATTATATTAGTGCCATGTTATATACTATACATGGGGAACTACCTGGTGAACAAAATACAAATGATTCTGGTTTTCACAGACATCAGTATTTTTAAGGGGGTGAAGACACACAAAACAAGGAAACCTACAAATACGTAATTCTGAACGCAGTAAGTGAGAGAAAACACAAGAGCAAGACATACAGTATATGTTACAGTTTGGTCAAAACTGATCTAATGGTCCAGGTATGAAGGCTTAGGTAAGGTGCCAGCCACATATAAATACCCAGAATGCCCGTATCATCTGTGAAGTTCATTACTAATAATACTGCCAGAATGAATAAATATGAAAACCATGTTGTTGAGAAAGTCTGAAATGTGGCCAGTATTGAGATTAGCTGGCGAATCCTGATGTTAACGAAAGTGGTTAAATTTGACAGTCCCTGACTGTGTTTGTAAACTCAGAGATGGGAACAGGTGAGAGGTTTGTGGAGCATCTCCTGTGTCAGGCTCTGTGGGGGGCACTGGGGGTCCCCAGGATGTTAAATGTTAACTAGAAGTAAAGTGCTCCTGCCTGCCCGCCCCTTGGAGCACCTCACAGGGCCTGCCCGCGCCGTGCCACGTGAGGCATGGCCAGGCTGCAAATTCCCGCTTGTCTGTTTTGTTTTGCTTCAAGATTTGACCTTGTTGCCAGATTTCTGTCGAGATTAACCCGACAGAGTTCCGAATGTACTTCATTCTACGGCGGGTTAGGTTTCCACAGTCGATGAAGTCAGTTATGCCTACATCTCCGTGAAGCAGGCGCAGAAGGGGAGGTTTGCATGGCAGAAAAATCTCTTTTTACATTGGGCAGAATAGAATTCATGCTTGAGAGGCGTGCTATTTCTGTCTCTAGTCTCATTTTGTACCCATTTCTGTTTGAAGCTGTGTCCTATTCCAGTGCAAAACCCTCTTCCTCCTCCTCCCCCCCACTCATCTCCTTCCCCCTCCCTCCACTCATTTCCTCCTCCCCCCACTCATCTCCTCCCCCTCTTCCCCCTCCTCCTCCCCCTCATCTCCTCCCCCTCCTCCTCCTGCCACTCATCTCCTCCTCCTCCTCCCCCACTCATCTCCTCCTCCCCCCACTTATCTCCTCCTCCCCCCACTTATCTCCTCCTCCCCCCACTCATCTCCT